ATTGCGCCTTACATACACAGGGCAGTAGTGTCATCGCCGAGCAATCTCAACCAATTAGAAGTTAGAATTGCGATCATTGCGGCTAACATACACCGGGCAGTAGTGTCGTCGCCGAGCAATCTCAACCAATTAGAAGTTAGAATTATGATCATTGCGCCTAACATACACTGGGCAGTAGTGCCATCGCCGAGCAATCTCAACCAATTAGAAGTTAGAATTACGATCATTGCGGCTAACATACACTGGGCAGTAGTGTCATCGCCGAGCAATATCAACCAATTAGAAGTTAGAATTACGATCATTGCTCCTAACATACACTGGGCAGTAGTGTCATCGCCGAGCAATATCAACCAATTAGAAGTTAGAATTACGATCATTGAGCCTAACATACACTGGGCAGTAGTGTCATCGCCGAGCAATATCAACCAATTAGAAGTTAGAATTACGATCATTGCGGCTAACATACACTGGGCAGTAGTGTCATCGCCGAGCTATCTCAACCAATTAGAAGTTAGAATTACGATCATTGCGCCTAATATACACTGGGCAGTAGTGTCATCGCCGAGCAATCTCAACCAATAAGAAGTTAGAATTACGATCATTGCGCCTTACATACACAGGGCAGTAGTGTCATCGCCGAGCAATCTCAACCAATTACAAGTTAGAATTACGATCATTGCGCCTAACATTGCGATATACGACATCATTTGTGTGTGTTTTATACTGTTAAGGTTATACGATATGACGCCAAACAAGACTACTATTTGGGAATAGCCAAAATGAAGTGATATATGGTTATACGAATAAAGAAGGATATTGAATATCACAAGAGCCATTTTTTCGATTATTTTTTTATTAAAATAAACTAGTACTGTGATGCGCAGTTTTTAATCTATACATATTATTGTCCACATGCAGAGTTTAACGGAAAATCATAAGCAAGACGAGAAAGCCTAGGTAAATCCACAAGAAAGCCTAGGTAAATTCACAAGAAAGCCTAGGTAAATCCACAAGAGGAAACTTTATTATTGAAAAATAATGTTTATACACAATTAGCAAAATCCACATTTAAAAAACTTGAAATATGCTAAATTGATCGAAGAGAATGGACTTGCTAATTAGGAAGGCTAGAAATAATTTCCTTGAACAAAAGACATACATGGAATTTTGTATAAAAAGAAACACAGATTTTAACGCATTTTTAGTAAAGATAATAATGACAATAATTCGAGGTTCTTATATACCGCATTATCACAATTTCAAAGCGATTCACAAATTGTTATCTAGGGCATTTGCAACCAGCCAATATCTTTCTCAACTCCCCTGGGAGCATACAGTATTGAAACAATAATCAGCAGCATGAGTAATGCACTGACACATTCTTTGCTGGTCTAAAGAAGCCATTACACCTATCGATATATCATTTTCAAACAATTTTAATTGCTACCGTTTATAAACAAATTCCTGTTATGCACATCTGTATAACAATATAGCGACACTTACCTTGCGCCATACTTGTCGTCAGGTGTATCAGCATGCGTCGTCGTACTCAACAAGATCTACTGCCCATCTAATCACCATTTATATACGATACTCGGATGACGGCAATCCGGGGGAATGCGCATGTGCAAACAGAGAGCTTTCCTGTTCCGATAAAATTGCTAACATAATAGCTATATAATGAGAGCAGTAAAAGGGAGTTCGTATCACACACCTGGTCTCGGCTCTATATGGTTTCATTGTCATCGACTAGTTATAACGTCAATACGCTGTTTGCTTTCCCGCTTCACGAATGTTTCGTTCAGAGAAATGAAAGTGTACGAAATAGTCAAATAATAAGATACGAATATGATATTGACTGCACAAAACAAAATATTTAACCAACACAAATTATGTTTTCCCAGCTTGCCTGCTCTGTGTTTATCATTGCAAAAATTCGTTTGGCATCGAAACTATATAACTATCCCTCGTACGGCCCCCTACATGGTATCGCCTGGTAGGTAAACATCTTCTTTTATCTGTTTTATTTCATAGAGAGGACAAAAAGGCTTCATAAGTCAATTAACCAAATACATAATTGGCATTTATTATACAAAGAGCATATGTTGTACAACAATCATCAACATTGATCATTAATGTTTTTTGGATTTCAAGGTATTGAATGCCTTTATTAGGTTGTTATGTGTTGGTACGTGACCGCGGAACGTCGATCGTTATTCCGGCTTGATGTTTAATCTTATTAAAACCCGTTTATTCGGTATACCAATTTATTGCCTAGTTGTCTTTATACTCTAATAGTATTCGTTCATTTCCATTAATTTGTTGATATTTCAAAGGAAGATAAATGGAAGTCCGTTTACGAAAAACGTCATCAATTGAGACAAGGAGCACATTGATTGTTTTGTGTCAAAACTATGGAAAGGTCATCATTGCGTATTTAGTTTCAAAGAGTACAGGCTCTGACACACACACACACACACACACACACACACCCACATAGTATAAATATTTAGAGGGGATTGGAAGGGGAAGGCACGTAAGCTTATGGAGATGAAAAATTGCTGGAAGCAAGACAAAATGGTAGCAAAACAACTGATATTGTATACAATCGGGTGATGTAATCTTCCTGTGGACTTTTTACATGGTTAACAGCCTGTGTTGATGAGGAACTCGATACGTCAGGATAAATGGCTATTTATATATTTAAACAAATCAAACCCCATGTCCTTAAGTCTTAACGCAAACAATCAGTGTTTGTTTTCTGGCACTTGGTCAAGCTATCTCTACAACTAAGTTGACAATTAGTAAACAACACATGTTTAAATTTGTTTATTTGACCCATATATGACAGATACTTCAACTACTGTTTATTTTAAAGCTAGCTACCGTTTGCTGTGTATTGCTGTATACTTTAACTACTGTTAATTGTAAAGCTAGCTACATGTTGCTTCACATATTTGCTGTGTATTGCTGTATACTTAAACTATTGTTTATTGTAAAGCTAGCTAACTGTTGCTTCACATGTTTGCTGTGTATACCTGTATACTTTAACTACTGTTTATTGTTAAGCTAGCTACATGTTGCTTCACATATTTGCTGTGTATTGATGTATACTTTAACTACTGTTTATTGTAAAGCTAGCTACATGTTGCTTCACATTATTGCTGTGTATACCTGTATACTTTAACTACTGTTTATTGTTAAGCTAGCTACATGTTGCTTCACATGTTTGCTGTGTATAGCTGTATTCTTTAACTACTGTTTATTGTAAAGCTAGCTACATGTTGCTTCACATGTTTGCTGTGTATAGCTGTATATTTTAACTACTGTTTATTGTAAAGCTAGCTACCTGTTGCTTCACATATTTGCTGTGTATTGCTGCATACCTTAACTACTGTTTATTGTAAAGCTAGCTACATGTTGCTTCACATGTTTGCTGTGTATAGCTGTATATCTTAACTACTGTTTATTGTAAAGCTAGCTACCTGTTGCTTCACATATTTGCTGTGTATTGCTGTATACTTTAATTACTGTTTATTGTAAAGCTAGCTACATGTTGCCTCACATATTTGCTGTGTATTGCTGTATACTTTAACTACTGTTTATTTTACAGCTAGCTACATGTTGCTTCACATGTTTGCTGTGTAGTCACGCTATCTCTCAGTTGAGGTTTTTGCTGTCCACTTTGTATTACACCACGCAAGCACTAATGCTTTGATGGCTAGTGTTCCCTACGGTGACCATCGCTTGCTTTTCAAAGCATTGTTTATGGAAATTAATCATTACCTGATGATTTCTCCGGCCGAAGACCACCTTTGTGTTGGTAAATAAATGAAGATATAGACAAAGATATTTGACCCGTTTGCGATACAATATTTGTTCACTGTTAACCTGTTGGTGCACTTAACGACAGTGTTCAACATTGATGTATGCTCACCTGTGTGTGTTGTGTTCACTCTCCTGGTATATTTTAGTCCCAGAAGTTTGTCGTGACCGTGATAGCCACAGTAATACATATTCAGTAGTAGCAGAGTTCATAATACCCACATGTTATCAATTATATAGTTTCAAATTTACCAGTTCTCCTCTTATTTTGAAAAACTATTTTTGAAAAAATTAAAGGTCTTGCGCACCACCCCTTTCATTTCAACAATAGTTTAGAACAGTTTGATGTCCAAGTCTTTGGCCATTACCGATTAGTCCTCGAAGGACGACGTCACTATATAGTGCAAAGTAACTAAGTTTTGGCGTTCTGTATATATTACCACATTCTATGGTGCACTCACCTGTATTTCAATCAACTGTGTGAATGGGCAGTCTCAGACAGAATTATCTAAATAAAGTGGTCCTGTAATATCCTTTTAATTCAAACTGAAAATACAACTTGAATATCTGTAGAATTTTAAAATGATCATATGCGTTAAAAAGAAAGAAGCAATTACCAAATGGATTGTTTGAATGGAAAAAGGTATATCAAAGTCTCAACAAGCATAAACATAATCTGTTTACAAATAAAACTTTGAAAAAATATTATCTCTTATCTAATTTTATTAAATGATTGATCTGATACCTCGACAATATTTACATTTCACGAGTGGCTCAGGAATAATGCAAAATTACTTATCAATCATCTTTTGTGACAATGCATTTCCACGTTAATGAAAACTGAAATTCAAGAGAGTCAATGATGCCATCCATTTACAAATAGGTTTAAAGTCATCTACGCAGGTGTTGAAAATTTCTTTAAGGAAAATACCAGCAACAAGTTGTCTGAAATCCGTTATTTATGAATAGACATTTCAAATACAATTGGTTATAAGGAATAAGTGTTTCGTTGTGTTGTTTTTTTAAATTCCAAACGTATTCCACATTAGCACACATGACGTGTGTTTTGAGAGCATGAACATCCTACTCACTGGATCTGATAGGGACGATTTAACATTTGATTGTCCTTTATTAAGGTTAAAAGTGTGTAGTGACTACATGAACATCTTATCTGTATAGCTGTATTCCATATTTTATCTATATACGTAGCCCAGTTATTCTGTCGAAATGGGGTCAAGAAAGGTAAGTCTTTCTGTCGTTGAAGTTTGATGTACTTATGTTTATATATCCTATGTGTTTGTGTTCATACATTATTTGTGGTTTTATGTGTTACTGTTTTATATGATTCCATAGGTATTTTAATTCGTATAACGCTTCTAGTGTAAACATCAAATACATACCAGGCAGTTTCTCCTGTCTATTTGCCGGTGACGTAGTGCAAATGGAAGTACTTCCACTAAAGCATTCACGGTAGTACCACAGAGTTTACTTTGTGTCAAGAAGCGTGCAGTCCAAGTCAAATCGAAATGCAGTCAAAGTTCGAAGGAAATGCAGTCCACGCCAATTCTTCAAGCCAAAAGAATTGCAGTCCAATTCCAAACGGAGTACAGTACAAGTCCAAACGGAGTACAGTCCAAGTCCTAACGGCACGCAGTTCAAGTCCAAACGAAATGCAGCCCTAGTCCAAACGGTTCGCATTCCAAGTCCAAAGGATTAGACACTGAGTACACTAAAGCATTGAACTGTTTGTGTATGGTATTTATGATCTATTTGAATGACACAGCTTTGCAAGCAAACAACATAGTGCGCGCTCAAATAGATCATAAATACCATACAAAAACAGTTCAATACTTATATTTACGTTTTCTCTGCCTCTTATGTTCTTTTTAACTTATAATTTATATTTAAAATCAAAAATGCCCGCCTTATCGACAGTCCACACAATTTCGTTCAATAGTTTGAACAGCGTATTGTCGCTTGCTGATTGGCAAACAAAGTAGTACTTTGAAATTTTAACAAACACTTCAATTTTATTCCACAATTCAGTACCAATACAATTGCGTATGATATGTCTATAGGGTGATTTAAGTTTATCAATAGAACTCTGAGCTGAAAGTTAGATTTAAAATTGTTTCGATTTTCCCCGGGAACAAATTTCGCGCATGGACAAATACAGCGAACACCGTAAATCCGACCTAGCCTTCCACGAGGGAGTTATTTTTGGAAATTAATTCGAACTTTTCTCTTTGCTCATTTTGTGAAGAATCCAGGCGTGAATTTATTTGTTGATTGTATGGGAACCTGACAACAGTTGGTAGATTCTATAACAGCCTCGTTATTTGACATGCCGTCAGAAACTGAGGAACCGTGGATGCGAGATGCGTGAAACTGATAGCGTGTGAAGTGAGTGATCTTGCGACGAAGCACAAGTTCGTTTCAAATGTCTGAAATGTTTAAGTGTACTGTGACTCATATCAGTAGGTCTGTAGCATATGTGTCAGTAGGTCCATAGAATATGTGAATTTCAGACATTTGTAACGAACCCCTATTGATCAGTGCAGTGTAACAGACGATATTTCTGATAAGTTGCATGAGCGTTAAAATTGTTTCCATTGCCGGCATTGGCGATTTCAACCGATGTGCATTTTGTTCGATATTGCAGACATTGGTCTTGTTTTCGTTGTAATAAAAGTGTTTTTTTATTTTATTTTTTTATTTTGCACATACATTTACAATGACATTGTCAAATCTCACAATGGCGAGCGATATTTCAGCAGCCGTCATGTGTATTTATATTGGATATTGTAGTTCCGGTCAGTGTTGTATCAATACGCTAAGAATTGTGTCCCGTGATGCATGGTAATTAAAGTCCCATCAACGACATAGCTTTCAAAGAGGCTATATAGTGACAATGCCATGCTAATGTAAATATAAGGATGTAACCGTCTGTCTACATGTAACTGTACGGTCGATGTGGTCAGTAAAATACGGGATCTCACAAAGATTACACATTATCAATATATTTGAAAGTAAGGTTGAGTAACTTGGCGAGGTTTTTGTTACGTGTCTTGATAAGCTTTTGGGTAATCGATTCTCATGTAATAAAAACCCACAGACATTTATGCAAAGAGACGGGCATAGCGTGTTCCCATTAGATTACCTATAGTCTGCTAGAGAATCTTCCCTCTGAACTCAACATATACTGTCAACCAAGAGCTCAATCAGTCTAACGATTTCGTCCTCAGTAAATGTCATCTTGACCTTTTCTTTGCAAAAATATGCTCCAAAGTAATTTACAGCCATATATATTTGTATCGCCGTCCGCCTTTTATGGAAAAAAAGAGTTTTCATACAGGGAGAGTGGAAACGTCAACCGATCTGATATTATAACTTGACTTACTTGTAACCTTCCCTGCTATATTTATTCCAAATTGGTATCTGCAAATGAGATAAAAAAAAAATCAGGTATAATGGTAAAATAGTCGATAAAAGAATGGCAACGGTATGTGTTCTAATTGATTGTAAACGCTTTGATTTAGGGAGTTCACCTTAACCCCTACTAACCAAACAAATATTGACAGGTGAGCACGTTTTAATTGTTTATTCTTTGTTTTATTTTATTTTGCTTCTATTTTAATTCACATTTGTTCCTTTTGTAGATGTTGGTAGTCTGGGTACTCGTTCTAACCGCAGTGGGTTCGGACTGTGTCCCCCTCCAGGCAGGCCGTACATTACATACTGTGTCCAGAGATGTAGCGGATCCTCCGTCCCATCAATTGATGGACTTCCGTCGCAGGAATCACGTGCACAGTTGTCGTATATGTCCGTTTATTCCCGGAGCACGTGTAATGTGTGTGCACTATCAACAAGAGTGCGACGTTCACGAGGACCGCTGTTTCAGGAGCCTAGGAGTCCAATCAAATTTTCACGGGTTTAGTTATACCAAAATAGATTATGACGGCAGGGTAAGTTATAAAGAAAAAAAAGGTGACACGCTAAAACAGATTAATACGGAAGATGTTTGGTAAACTAGAAATGAAACTATATACACTGGTAACAGCAGTTCCGCTGACATCTAAGGAGAAACCTATATTTAGCTACCCGCTAGATTTTAACTACGATGTTCACTGTCTAGCATTATTATAAAATGTCAAGTATATCTTAAATCGTTGATAAACTACTTTCTAGGATTTGAGATTAACTTTCATGAAAACATATTTTCCTTTTGGAATTTTTGGCGTTGTTGATATATTTCTTTGTTTAGATGCCTCCTCTGTACCGCTTCTACTCTTTTCATATGGACATTGAACCCCATTTTTCCTGTTTGTATATTGAATTGTTTTTCTTCAAATAATTACCTTATATTTTTCTTAGGAGGCTTGGGCCAGAACGGAAACAACTGTGCGATCATGTGCACAAGGAAGCCATGGTAATACTACTTGTTTCAGATCAATGATAAACATTGTCAGGTATATGGTCCTTTTACGTATCGTCCGAGGTTGAAAGAAAGGACGCCGCCCTTCTAACTAAATCAGTAAAAGACAGTTTGAGTGATACTAGAAGTGTCGATAACTTGACTTGACGGATGCACCACCATTCTAAGGGTTTACATATGGTAAAACATAAGGTTAATTTATATTTGTTTGGGATTTAGTTCATTCTTCTATGATTGTACGCTAATACTAAGATATATAGGATAAAGAAATAATTTTAGGATCATTTGTAATTCTTCCTGAAAATTGAGCCTGCTTCCATATATGTAGCGAATTTCTTTGTGTAAACATGTATCCCTTTATTATAAGGTAGTATTACACCTCGGGCACTACTCACATGAGATCACCGTGATACAATTCCGGTCTGTAGCGTTAAAGGGTAGATCTTTGGGAAAGTTTCACAACAATTTAGATTCTAATTGGATTTATGTTACCTTTACGTACATTTTTTGCCTATCGTAAAGACACTGGCTGCAATAATATCACATATTTACGTTCAAAGATGAACGTAACGCACACAGACAGGTGATTGCACCTTTAGATAGTTTTTAGTAAAAATAGAAATACACTTCATGGTAGAGCTGTTTCGTCCTTCTCAGACATATATATCGGTGATACTAAGGGCAAAAAATGGGGGGGGGGGGGGTGTCTAAACTGCTGATGAAATAGATTGGGAAGTGCATTACCTCCCTTAATTATATGAATTTCAAATTTGAGGGAAGTGCTGCTAAATTAATTAAGTGTGTATAGTATGAACCGTGCCACTACAGAAAAGAGACTACTGTCGCTACCAAGGTTCAAAGTCACAATTTCCCTGGACAATGTTTTGTGATGTTAAATACAGTGCATTATTAGATTGTGTCTCTGCTAACGTATGTTACGAGATATGAGGCAATGTCGAGGTATTTTCATTTAAAATCATAAAAACAAATATTGTAAATTACCTACAACGAAGCCACCTCAACAGTGCCATGCTAGTTTATTGCACGCGTGTGCACTGCTTCAATCAGGGCTGATTGTATCATTATAACTTTTAGGTATAAAGTATAGGTGTTTAATACACGTACGTAGAAGCTCTTACCCTGTCATGTTTACAGGCGATGGTTCCGTCACTTATCATCCCATGCTTACACACACGCCATCTGTTGAAACGACGACCACGCCGATGAAGTTAGCCTTCCAGACAGTCCAACCTCCATCGAATACTGCACGTGAGCTCTAGCTGATAATTTGGGTTAAACTTAAGGCACCGTTTTCTCTGGTGTTTTACTATAAGATTGCCTACAAATGATTACTGAGTTAAGCAATATTTTGAAGAAATTTTCAGTTCTGATAAAGGAAGAATTTGTAAATATAATTAACTAAATATTTGTTTCTTTTGAAAGGAAACGATAGTTATAATAAGATTTTAATCTTTTTTTCAAATCCATTTTATCTTACAACATACAAAAACTAGAGTTATAGGTAAACTTGGTATTCCTGTCTCCAGAGACTTTTACACGTAACTTTGGCATGTGTTTTTAGAGAGTTGAACACGTGACCGTGCTGTCCGTCTATAGACAGTTTTACACGTGACCGTGCTGCCCGTCTATAAACAGTTTTACACGTGACCGTGCTGTCCGTCTATAGACAGTTTTACACGTGACCGTGATGTCCGTCTATAGACAGTTTTACACGTGACCGTGCTGTCTATTTTTAGATTCGGTACATGCTGCTTTGATGTCTAATATGGGAGTGAACACTCACGAAGGAGTCCTTATAATCACTGTTGACGGCATAGATCACGTGGCCTGTGCGGACGGATGGACAGAAGAAAACAGTCGAGTCGTTTGTAAAACCATTGGATCTCCTCAAGGGTGGGTATCTTCCAGCAAGGAATTATTTTACGATAAACAGCAATTTTGACGGCGTCTTTTATCCATTGATTTGTATTTTTATGATGTTTATCAATTCTTCCTTGAAATATCATAAATGCCTTTCGTTACCTCCTCGTACAGGTACGTAGCGTCACATCGGGCCGTACAGGACTACGGAATACCCGTGCTTAGTGAACAGGTCACTTGTAATGGATTGGAGCTGGATCTGTCTATGTGTCCGCGTCACAGACAGACACACTGTCCCAACAACCGCATCATACAAGTCACGTGTACCGTTACAGGTAAATATAGACCGTTTCCTGAAATTTAAAGAACTTCTACCGGACGAACTATGGGGATTAAAAACGACACTGGTATATGTCTTATAATGTCGATATAGACAGCCTTTCTGTTTGTTTGACCAAAGACACCCAAGGATATTTTCGTCAGCTACTTTCCTCGACCTTTCAACATGACTAAAAGAGACCGCGTAGTATTTAGCTGTACACTAAGCTGTACACTAAGCTGTACTCTAAGCTGTACACTTAACTGTACACTAAACTGTACATTAAGCTGTATACTAAACTGTACATTAATATGTACACTAATATGTACACTTACCTGTATACTAAGCTGTGCAATAAGCTACGATGTACACTAAGCTGTACACTAAGATGTACACTAAGCTGTAAACTAAGATGTACAACACTAAGCTGTAAACTAAGCTGTACAATAAGATATATACTAAACTGTACATTAATATGTACACTAATCTGTACACTTAGCTGTATACTAAGCTGTGCAATAAGCTACGATGTACACTAAGCGTTACACTAAGCTGTACACTAAGCTGTACACTAAGCTGTACAATAAGATGTACACTAAGCTGTAAACTAAGATGTACAACACTAAGCTGTAAACTAAGCTGTACAATAAGATGTACACTAAGCTGTAAACTAAGATGTACAACACTAAGCTGTACACTAAGATGTACACTAAGATGTACACTAAGCTTAGATGTACACTTAGATGTACAACACTAAGTTGTACACTTAGTTTAGATGTACACTAAGCTGAACAGTAAGCTGTACACTAAGCTTAGATTACACTGAGATGTACACTAAGATGTACACTAAGCTTAGATGTACACTAAGTTGTACACTTAGTTAAGATGTACACTCATATGTACACTAAGCTGTATACTAAGCTGTACACTAAGCTGTACTTTAAGCTGTACACAATGATGGCGTTACACTAAGCTGCACTGTAAGCTGTACACTAAGCTGAACAGTAAGCTGTACACTAAGCTTAGATGTACACTAAGCTTAGATGTACACTAAGTTTAGATGTACACTAAGTTTAGATGTACACTTATATGTACACTAAGCCGTACACTAAGCTGTACACTAAGCCGTACACTTAGATGTACACTAAGCTGTACACTAGCTGTACACTAAGCTTAGATGTATACTAAGCTTAGATGTATACTAAGCTTAGATGTATACTAAGCTTAGATGTACACTAAGCTTAGATGTATACTAAGCTTAGATGTACACTAAGCTTAGATGTACACTAAGATGTACACTCATATGTACACTAAGCTGTACACTAACGGTATCGAATTCAATTTTCCAATCGGGGACTTTCTCTCTGGTAGTAGTAACATCTTTTTCCGCTCAATCAAAAGTATTTACAGAAGATTTGGTTGAAGAGGTTGCTCCACATATCATAACAGGCGTCATATATGTCGATTTCAGAGGGACAAACTTAAAGCAAATACTCTCATTGGGAAATATGCTATTTCTCTGTTCTATATGATGGTTGATTTTTTTGAGCATGCTCATTAATATTCCTTGTTCTTTTGTTGTCATTTCCTCTGTTCTCTCTATAAGGGCATGGCTTACTTGGATTTGACCTAGATTTACATGGCGGGTGTTGTTAATAGACCAGAGGACGCTTACCCTTTCGGAACATTGTCCCAGTTTCCTTGAAATTCTTCACGGTTAACCTTTCTTTTCTTCGTTCATCTTTAGCCTTAGTCTTGTCTAATTAGAGTTTGAAATACGGTTTGGTTGACTGTTCGGTATATTCTTGATGTCTTTTGATATAGCGCCATTGTATGTGAGCTTGGTGTCCAATACCGGAGCGAGAACGCATGAGGGCATCCTCATCATAACTACAGGAAGCAAAGATCATGTGACCTGTGCGAACGGATGGACAGAAGAAAACAGTCGAGTCGTTTGTAAAACCATTGGAGCACCTCAGGGGTTGGTAAAATTTCTAACTTCTTTCCAGTAAAGACATTCTTACCACAAACAGGTATTTCGATGGCTTTTTAATGTCACAAATAACAACAACTAAATATTTTATTCTTAAATCCTTCCCGAACAGACACATAACGTCACACCATGCCTTCCAGAACTACGGAATACCTGTGTTCAATGAACAGATCGCATGTAATGGATGGGAAAGGGACCTGTCCAAGTGTCCGCGTCACAGGGACTACACACAGACACAATGCCTCAATAATTACGTCATATACGTCACATGTTCGGTTCCAGGTAAATATAATAAACATTTGTCGTGCAGTTAAGGACATACACTTAGCAAACCCTGGCGGTGTAAATGACACTTGGTTAAAACCACGAGCAGAGGAACGACTTCCACTGTTTTGGTATACCCGTGGGAACGGATTGGCAGCATATCTTATCGAGTACGGCTCGGTATCTCCTGGTGGTGTTTTCACCTCTTGCCTGCCATCCACAAATATTTAGTGAAACATATTTACCGATGATGGACACGTTATGCTCAAAAACAGTAACTCGCTTTTGTCATTACTGACTATCAAACATTTAACCCCGTCATTCGTGTTATGAAGCTCGAAAATTGTCTGTGATAGCTAGTCTGAACAATTTATCTGTCGTTTGCACTCCCTTTTTTCACATCAAAGCTGATGAGTTCCTGTCTCTTAGTTTAAACTTTCAATTGGTTTGAACCAATTCGTAGACAGTAGCGTGTGGAAATCGGTTAGTAAACTGTTGAAAGTCGTTTTCTTTACAAATGCATCATTATGGGGTTACTAACTTAGGTGTGTATCATGTCAAAATAGGAGGTGCGATATACATGTAACAGGAATGCAACGGACAGAGGGCTGCCCTAAAATCAAAGTGGTGTAGTGTTATATTTGGCAGCATGTCTTTTACCCAATTAAATGCATTTTTATAGTCATGGACACTATTTCTACATTTCTCCGTAGCTTCTACAGTTCTACCACCATCGACCACTCAAACCTCAACCACCACTCCAACCACTACAACTCCAGCCACTACTTCAACCACTCCGACAACTACAATAACAACCACTACCACTCCAACCACCACTTCTACCACTCCGACAACTACCACTACAACCACTCAAACAACCACTTCGACCACAACTAGGACTACACCCACTACAAGCTCACCAACCACTACAGGTATTGTGAACAGCATTCGCTCAGTAGTAGTGAATACATTTTTTCAATAATTTGCTACCTTGCTGCTGTAAATGAAAACTTCTCAGGAACAAAATATTTATTTGAACGAATTAGTCTTCGATATGGCAAAACAGATATGAGATATGTATGATAATATTGATGTTGTTACTATCATGCACTTGCACAGCTGTAGTCATTATTGTCTATGTTATTGCTGTAGGACACTGGATAAACTTCGGCGGTGGTAAGTAGTAGTCCAAGATATCTGTTGTAATGATAAAGGAGACAAATGTATGGAGATACACAGATAAAGGTTTAACTTATACTTTTAAGTGTGTATTCATTAATGAGAAAAAATATTTCGAATATCAACACGAAAACCCTGATAATAATCATACACAGAAGATATCAAATGATTCCCGTCAAATACCATTCAATGTGATGAGTATGGTAGAAAACCGATATTTTATTTTCTGTATTAAATAGTCTATGATTATTTTGCACTTGTCAGTAACTTGATTGTTACTTTTTTTGTTATGTACTACCGCGTATATTGTGAGAAACATAATTTGTTACTTACATTCTGGTATGTCAACTGTCACGTGCATGTTATTGTAAAACTTAACAAGGGTTTACATACTGTTCGTGTTTTAGGCAAAGTCACCTCAACATCGACGCCCCCGCAATCCGGATGGGTACCTTTTGGTAAAAAATATTATTCTGTGTTGTTCATTTCCTTTGTATCTTGACCATTTACTGTCTCGCTTTACTGGACAATTTACTGAGCAACTCTTTATACTGTGAACACGTCTAACTTTCAGAGTATTTGGTCATTCTTATCACAATCAATCATTTACATCAGGTAAATCTGTTAACTTTCTTAAAATGCATTAATGGATATCTGTAGTATATATTATTAGCATTTTTTTTTTATATATTTTAGAAAGTCTTTATGAATATTAAAAAGAATAAAGTATGGTCTTAGACGCTTTAATCTACATATGTGGGTATGTGTGTATAATTATGATGGAAATAACATTTTAGATAGAATTGAGATCAAGAGGCATTCATGGCTAGCACTTCATGTTCAATTCACAAAAACCCATGTGGCATTGACATTGACTGTAAACAACCTAAAAGGATTTAAATTATTACATTTATCCATTTTTTGAAACATTTCTGTCTCGCAAAGAGTTGAATCCAGAATAAAGACAAAACTAAAGGCACGCATATTTATATCATATATATCGTGTGTGTTTGTTCAGTAGATGGAACAGCAATTCTACTGAAACGGCCAGTTGTATCCAATGTAACTATTATGACGTCATGATAATAACCGCGTCATAAATCAAGCCATTATACTTGTAGCTAATATGAATGCCTTGTAATATACTGTTTTGGACACGCGATATTAATATAAGCTTATATTAACAGGATAACCACGGACAAAGAGACGGGACGTGGAAGGAAATACAAATGATCGATACTTATCGTTACAGTTTTAAATAAAAACAGTAGAAACTGATTTGTTCACTGTCTATGGGATCCTTATCATAACTACCGGAGGCAGATACCACGTGTTGTATGAAGAGTTAACATATTGTTCGTGTTTTAGGCAAAGTCAACTCAACATCAGCGGCCCCGCAATCCGGATGGGTACCTTTTGGTAAAAAATATTAATCTGTTGTTGTTAATTTCCTCTGTATCTTGATCGTTTACTGTCTCGCTTAGTTTGACAATTTACTGAGCAACTCTTTATACTGTGAGCATGTCTAACTTTAAAAGTATTTGATCATGCTTATCACAACAAATAATTTACATCGGGAAAATCTGTTAACTTTCTTACAATGTATTAACGGATACCTGTAGTATAAATTATTAGCAGAGAAATTGTTTTTTTAACATATCTTAGAAAGTCTTTATGAAGATTAGAAAGAATAAAGTATAAATGGTCTTAGATAATCTATATATGTGGATAGATAACAAATGAAGGACAATGAACTAAGATTTTTAAAAGTTAGCAAACATATGCATCAATGTTCTAAAGATGATTTTATGTGTTACCTATTAACAAACTGAATAGCGACGATGTCGTTGCAAGAGAATTTAAAGAAAACATGTTTATAAAGGTCCTCAAACCCAGCTTGAATGCACAATGTTTTTTGCAATGTATTGTAAATGCTTGTTTTCTTTGTACTGGTATTGTTTTTGACGTCACTATGCTTGTTTATTGATGACGTCACTCAACTTGTTGACAATACAAATATTGATGACGTCATGTAACCAACGGTGATAAACAAACATTAATCCGCCTGAAGAAGCCCTAGAAGGCAGAAAGGCCTAGCGGACAATCTGAAATATTTATGTTTTTATTCTATATTTTCCTTCGCAAGGACTTATTTATTTATTATCTACTATATATATATACTTATGATGGAAACAACATTTTAGACAGAATTGAGTTCAATAGGCATTCATGGCTAGCGCTTCATGCACAAAAAAAATGGCATTCACATTGACTGTGAACATCACCTAAATGGATTTAAATTATTACATTTATCATTTTTTGAAACATTTCTGTCTCGCAAAGAGTTGAACCCAGAATAAAGACAAATCTAAAGACACACATATTTATTTCATATATATCGTGTGTGTTTGTTCAATAGACGAAACAGCGATTCTCCAGAAACGGCCAGTTGTATCGAACGTTACCATTATGACGTCATGATAATAACCGCGTCATACATCGAGCCATTATACTTGTAGCTAATATGAATGCCTTGTAATATACTGTTTTGGACACGCGATATTAATATAAGCTTATATTAACAGGATAACCAGGGACAAAGAGACGGGACGTGGAAGGAAATACAAATTATCGATACTTATCGTTACAGTTTTAAATAAAAACAGTAGAAACTGATTTGTTTACTAGTTTTCTTTCCTTTTTACAAAAAAACTAATTCATTCAATCAAGGATTTCCCAATATTTAGTAACAGAGGCATGAACAATGACACACGTTTACAGTATAACAACACCATGCTAACCACCAAATATAACAGTATAGGTTTTGTTCTATTAGCCAATAAATACAGAGTAGAGTCAATAGATATATTTTGTTACGATTGCAAAACACAAGTGAAAACTAGGAAAGGTATACATTTCGAGAGCGGTATCAACTAAGAAACAATGACTATATGTTTATTATTTTCGTTTTTGTTGTGAATTACATTTTTGTAAAGTTTAAAGTTCATCTTTTAATTATTAACCAATTTCGGGCAGATGGCCATAATTCCAATAATTGTATGCCAGCCTGGTAAAAAATCAAACGGTTTTAGGTTAAAATGTAACAAGAGTAAATAACAAGAGGCCCAGAGGGCATGTATCGCTCACCTGAATATGTTTGAAATAAATGGTATGAAGTAAAGATATAGCACTCCATGGTAGGTGCTGTAAGTACATATGAAATTTCAGAAAGATCCATTTTGAACAAACTTCAAACAGAGCCCCACCCCTATGTATCTAGGCGGGTCATAACCAGCGTTCATACAAAATTGAATCCCCTTGACCCAAGGATGCTCCAGACTAAATAAGGATAAAATCCCTTAATCCCGATGGTCTAAGAAGGATTTTAAAGGTTTTACCTCTATTTCTCCTATTGGGCCCTGCCCTTCTGCCCCCTGGGATACCACCACATCCATTGCTTATACAAAATTGAATTCCCTTGGCCCGAGAATGCTCCAGACTAAATTAGGATAAAATCCCTTAATCTCTATGGTAGAAGATGGATTTTATAGGTTTAACCTCTATTTCCCCTATTAGGCCCCGCCTCTCAGGCCCCTGGGGGCCAGACCAACGGTTTATACAAAATTGGTTCCCCTTCCCCAAAGGATGCTTCAGACCAAATATGGAACAAATCCTTTAATTCCAACAGAAAAAGAAGGATTTTAAAGAATTTGCTATATTTCCCCTAATGGGCACCGCTATCAGCCCTCAGGGGGGCCAGACCAACCATTTATACAAAACTTGTTCCCCTTCCCCTAAGGATGCCTCTGACCAAATTTTGTCAAAATCTGCTCAGTCGTTTATGACCAGTAGCGATTTTTAGGAAAAGTTGACGGACGACGGACGACGGACGCCGCACCATGGCATAAGCTAACTTGCCCTTCGGGCAGGTGAGCTAAAAACTACAAGGAGAATGAGACCAGGTGTTCTGGAAGGGTAAGTGTCTTCTTCACTGACAACATCCGCGATACAAGTCAAGGTCAATGCCAAGTAGTGTCACGTCATCACAGCGGGAACTCGGATAATGACAACAAAACAACTCGGCACACTGATGAACATAATCAAACACACCAACCTTCATGTAACACAAAGAAATAACATATTTCCCTGTGGGATCGTGGTGGCAATAATAAAACAACTTTCATGTAACACAACGAAATAATATATTTCCCTGTGGGGTCGTGGTGGCAACAATAAAACTTGTTCATAGTCTTCATCAACCGGCATATCTGGAAATCCAGTGTCACAAAAGGGAAATTAAGTCCACAATCGGAAAATGGAAAGCATCATGCTTATCGTACAGTTTAGTAATGAGCCGCGTCTTTTGGTCATGTTGTAAGTTAACATCAAGGAAAACCGCTGAAGCAGAACAGGCTCTGTAGAAGCTTTGATTACAAGTTCAAAATGCATTATAAAATATATATGGTCAATAAAGTTCTTGTTTGTTAAAGATAGCACATAATCCATGCATCAGATAGTGAAATTGAAGGACGATTTTTTTAAAAGTTTTGTAACTAGTCCTGATAAGCTCATCAATACATTCAGCTTCGTTTTCAGAAAAATCATGCCACCGTACTCAACAAACATATTGTCAGCCAGAAACTCAATAAACCCCACGAGGTATAGTTCATCATGACCTTTGTCGTGTGCTCATTAACATGCTCCAAAACAGTTTATTAGCATAATTATAATCAGAGTAATCAGAGCAATCAGAGTAATCAGTAATCAGAGCAATCAGAGTAATCAGTAATCAGAGTAATCAGAGAAGGAATGCGTTATTCAGTTTAGTATGGTAGTATAAAGCGTTCTGATCAACGACATATTGTGTAGGGAGAGGATGCTCAAGATTGATCAGGAAATAATGCATACAAAGAATGAGGTCGCAACACATGAATAAATTCATACAAATATTGAAATAGATAAAAAGGAACAAAAACTGCAAAGAGTCTGTGTTTAAATCAGGAACAATATCTTACAAATACTGAAACTGTAAACATGAACACACATACAAGATTGCAAAAAGTGACACCTGGAGATTGTACCTGTTCACTCATTGTCTATATCAGTCCTGTTACAGTAGAATTTGGCGTTGTTTGTTTATAGTACTGGTCCTAGTAGAAGTGGGATTTGTTTCTACTCGTTACAGCCGGAGCTGCCGTTGAAGCTACATTCAGATTCTGAATAGGATGATTCACTTAAAGCCGGACTCATTGAAGTTGTCTCGTGGTACTGAGGAGACATCCAGTATGGAGAAACGTATTTGACTTTCTCTTTGTCGAATCTGTAGATCGGTGTCTCGGCGAGTTGGATAGGCATGAAGCTAATTTTCTTCATAACATCATTGTTTGGGTAACACACGGACACTCGCCGGCCAAGCAGCCACTGGGTGGCCAAGTACCTGCCACTCTAGGAGAACAAAAGGCATTGCATTAATGTTGAACAAGTATCTAAACTATGTGTGAGGGGAATTCTTACTGGAATTTGGTTACCATCTCTCCGTATCGTAAGTATTGGAAAACTAAGTGTAAATATAGTTAAGTTCTTACTGAGGAATTACAGAAAGTACTGTAGAATTCTTACGGGACTCATGCTTAGAGTCTCACAGAAAGTTTGGATTATTTTTTTCTTACAGTCAGTAAGCAACCATATAACCTTAATTTGGCTAACTTCTTGCCGGAGGTAGGATGTAATTCTTACCGGAAGTATGATGTAATTCTTACCGGAAGTATGATGTAATTCTTACAGGAAGTATGGTTTATAAGATAGGGTCATAATTGTATATTATTTGTGTTAATAAGTATTATTGATAACACGTGTCCGTATGCGACAGAAACTAGCCATCCGTATCGTGATATTTTAGACGCGCGTCGTGAGTTTGAATGAAAGTGAGTGTTGCGTAACAGTCACGTGAAGTGTTGTAAACCTGTTTACTTTGGTCACGTGACTTGTCTATTTTTACAGTGGTCATTGTTTAAGTTTTACTTTTGACGAGTCATGGTCAGTTTTGGTCAGTGCGTTCACAAAGACATGTTTCAACATAGAGTGAGTTTTGGTATTTGAAGATCCTGAATTGAATTGAAGTGTATGTACTTATATTAAAATATTAATTTTCGTATGTAAATAAACAGTATAAAAGTAATATTTTTAATTAGTTAAATTTTTGAAGTAATTGTATTTTTGGATTATTTGGTTTTTCCGGCATAGCCATTTAAGTCAGTATATTATTAAAATGTGGTTTCATTTTATTTGTGTAGGGAATTTAAATAGAACACTCACTGATGATCATGAGAGACACACATGTAACTGCGACCGCCACATAAAACCTATGTAAAGCCTTTTGTGTTAAAAACCCTCTTCATGTAGAAGAGGTAGTTATCTTGTATATGGTGTCCATGTTTTATATATATAGGTGATAAATTTATGAAGATAAAGTCATGAGATGAGCTTCATTAATCTATTATTTCTTTTGAACTATTAACTCGCCGTTGACGACGTCATACCATTAGTCTACGACTACTATTCGACAACGGTGAGTTAATAGTTCAAAAGAACAGTTCAATAAAGTTCATCTCATAAATTTATCAGTTACATATATTAAACATGGACAACATCTACAAGGTACCTTCAGACAATAGCCTTTACAAAGGTTTTAAATAGAACACTGTTTTATCACTTACATATATAAAACATGGACAACATCTACAAGGTACCTTCAGACCATAGTCTTTACAAAGGTTTTAAATAGAACACTGTTTTATCACTTACATATATAAAACATGGACAACATCTACAAGGTACCTTCAGACCATAGTCTTTACAAAGGTTTTAAATAGAACACTGTTTTATCACTTACATATATAAAACATGGACAACATCTACAAGGTACCTTCAGACCATAGTCTTTACAAAGGTTTTAAATAGAACACTGTTTTATCACTTACATATATAAAACATGGACAACATCTACAAGGTACCTTCAGACCATAGTCTTTACAAAGGTTTTAAATAGAACACTGTTTTATCACTTACATATATAAAACATGGACAACATCTACAAGGTACCTTCAGACCATAGTCTTTACAAAGGTTTTAAATAGAACACTGTTTTATCACTTACATATATAAAACATGGACAACATCTACAAGGTACCTTCAGACCATAGTCTTTACAAAGGTTTTAAATAGAACACTGTTTTATCACTTACATATATAAAACATGGACAACATCTACAAGGTACCTTCAGACCATAGTCTTTACAAAGGTTTTAAATAGAACACTGTTTTATCACTTACATATATAAAACATGGACAACATCTACAAGGTACCTTCAGACCATAGTCTTTACAAAGGTTTTAAATAGAACACTGTTTTATCACTTACATATATAAAACATGGACAACATCTACAAGGTACCTTCAGACCATAGTCTTTACAAAGGTTTTAAATAGAACACTGTTTTATCACTTACATATATAAAACATGGACAACATCTACAAGGTACCTTCAGACCATAGTCTTTACAAAGGTTTTAAATAGAACACTGTTTTATCACTTACATATATAAAACATGGACAACATCTACAAGGTACCTTCAGACCATAGTCTTTACAAAGGTTTTAAATAGAACACTGTTTTATCACTTACATATATAAAACATGGACAACATCTACAAGGTACCTTCAGACCATAGTCTTTACAAAGGTTTTAAATAGAACACTGTTTTATCACTTACATATATAAAACATGGACAACATCTACAAGGTACCTTCAGACCATAGTCTTTACAAAGGTTTTAAATAGAACACTGTTTTATCACTTACATATATAAAACATGGACAACATCTACAAGGTACCTTCAGACCATAGTCTTTACAAAGGTTTTAAATAGAACACTGTTTTATCACTTACATATATAAAACATGGACAACATCTACAAGGTACCTTCAGACCATAGTCTTTACAAAGGTTTTAAATAGAACACTGTTTTATCACTTACATATATAAAACATGGACAACATCTACAAGGTACCTTCAGACCATAGTCTTTACAAAGGTTTTAAATAGAACACTGTTTTATCACTTACATATATAAAACATGGACAACATCTACAAGGTACCTTCAGACCATAGTCTTTACAAAGGTTTTAAATAGAACACTGTTTTATCACTTACATATATAAAACATGGACAACATCTACAAGGTACCTTCAGACCATAGTCTTTACAAAGGTTTTAAATAGAACACTGTTTTATCACTTACATATATAAAACATGGACAACATCTACAAGGTACCTTCAGACCATAGTCTTTACAAAGGTTTTAAATAGAACACTGTTTTATCACTTACATATATAAAACATGGACAACATCTACAAGGTACCTTCAGACCATAGTCTTTACAAAGGTTTTAAATAGAACACTGTTTTATCACTTACATATATAAAACATGGACAACATCTACAAGGTACCTTCAGACCATAGTCTTTACAAAGGTTTTAAATAGAACACTGTTTTATCACTTACATATATAAAACATGGACAACATCTACAAGGTACCTTCAGACAATAGTCTGCACAAAGGTTTTATGACGCAGTTATGTGGCGTTCGCATTTACATGCCTGTCTCTCATGATCATCAGTGTTCTATTTAAACTTATGATCATCAGTTTCGTGCGATCTTTTTATAACCTTTAAAAGGAATAATAGAAAATGCAACATGATGTTAGTATGAGAGTATAAATTGTATTTTAATTGTGTGTATTACATGTTGTAGGGGTTTTATTTATTATTTGGTTTAGTCCGATAAATAAACTGATTAAACGAACCCGAGTTGTGTGTGACGTTTTCACCCGAACCCACATCTGCTACATTTATACTTACTGGAAGTATGATAAAGCCTCTTCGTTGCTACATTTATAATTACCGGAAGTATGATAAAGCCTTTCGTTGCTACATTTATACTTACCGGAAGTATGATAAAGCTTCTTCGTTGCTACATTTATACTTACCGGAAGTATGATAAAGCTTCTTTGTTGCTACATTTATACTTACCGGAAGTATGATAAAGCCTCTTCGTTGCTACATTTATACTTACTGGAAGTATGATAAAGCCTCTTCGTTGAACGTTGTACAAATGCTCCTTTCGGAGCATGGTGCCGACCTGCTCACTAATGTGGATTCTGTTTGCTGTATGGCGAGTAGAATGGGGTCCCAGTTAAGGTTTTTCTGATATTGTTTTAATACGTCATGATTTATATTTTTAAATTATGATAGCTACAAAGAAAACCGTTAAACTGAATAGCAAATGGAAAAGTTTTGGACAAAATATGTTAAACCGGAATGAATTATTATCGCTATCTGAGGTAACAGCATGCCCGTTCTTCTGAATATGTTCTATATATCCAGGCTACCACTCCATTTCCACATTTCCCCTCAATATACAAATGTTATTCCACACCTACGTCACTTCCACATCTACACTACGAATTAAACTTCGTGTTTATCATACATACCGCTACAACTCTGCTTCAGTTGTGTTGCGACATCAACCAGTTCCCCATATATATGAAAACGAGGTTCCGGATGTGACGACAATTTGTATACACAGTCGGCTAAAAATAGCAACAGAAAAGTCAGGAGCAATGTTATCTCATGCAAAAAATGAAACGGCCAGGATAGGAACCTGGCGTTACTCTGTTATTCACATCATGAGAGCAGACGTTTCTTACTTAAAATCACGCAATGACAAAACACGATCAAACTTTTTGTGAGTTCTCTGCATATTCGATTTCAAGAAAAAACAATTACTTCGGGAAAATATTAACACTAAATTAAACATCTTAACTTCAAAAAACAGAAACTCTAGTTTGAACATACATGTGTGTATGCTGATACGCATGCGCAACTTTGAATCCGGAAGTATATCGACCTCCAAATCACTGCTCGATGCCCGGATGTCCAGTGCCATATTAGCTATCTCCGACACATGTCGGAGTGTCTGCTTTGACGAAGTACCTGCAACAAAAACAATAGTTTGTTTTACTTTACACAAATATCGAGCACTGAGGCATCACACAGATCTCGTCACAAAGATCTACATTTTTTTAAAGAACCCCTATTTTTCAACGTTTCATATGAAATATATAAGCGTCGAAAGACAACAAAACTCGTGCAGCGAAAAAAAACAACTAAAAATTTCGTTTCGATGTGACTATGGATTTGTCCATTTCAGTTCAGCTTGAAATAGACGTTAAAACAATCTATATTATGTATTTCTTGACCTCAACGCAGTATTGGAAATCACAGAAAATGCTATAACCATAAGTAAAAAAAAAAAACTATGTGACAACAACTTGACTGAAGTGTCAGAAAAAAATCCGGAAATCACAGTGAATGTTTAAAAACACGACTTACCGGAAGTCACAGAGCACATGTCATAATAACTTCCTCAAAAACACAGAGACTGATCATAATCACTTACAGGAAGTCACAGAAAACACATCAAAGTCACCTACAGAAAAAACACAGATACTATGTCACAATAGTTTTCCGGAAATCACAGATACCATGTCACAATAGTCTACCGGAAATCGCAAAAAAAATATCAGAATAGTCTACCGGAAATCACAAATACTATGTCACAATAGTATACCGGAAACCACAGAAACCTTGTCAAAATAGTCTACCGGAAATAACAGAAACCTTGTCACAATAGTCTACCGAAAAATACAGATACCATGTCAAAATAGTCTACTGGAAATCACAGATACTATAACACAATAGTCTACCTGAAATCATAAAACCATGTTAAATGAGTCTACCGGAAATCACAAAAACATTGTCACAAAATTCCACCGGAAATGTCAGATACCATGTCACAATAGTATACCGGAAATCACAGAAACCATGTAAAATTAGTCTACCGGAAATCACAAAAACATTGTAACAAAAGTCTACCGGAAATCACAGAAACCATGTCACAATAGCCTCCCGGAAATCACAGAAACCATGCAAATTTAGTCTTCCGGAAATAACAGAAACTTTATCACAATAGACTACCGGAAATCATAGCAACCATGTCACTATAGTCTTCCGGAAATCATAGAAGCCATGTCACAATAGTTTACCGGAAATCACAGATACCATGTCACAAAAATCTACTGGAACTCACAGATACCATGTAACAATAGTTAAACGGATATCAAAGAACCCATGTCACAATTGTCTAGGGGAAATCAAAGATACAAGGTCACAATAGTCTACCGGAAATCAAAGATACAATGTCACAATAGTCTACCGGAAATCACAGATACAATGTCACAATAGTCTACCGGAAATCACAAATACTATGTCACAATAGTATACCGGAAACCACAGAAACCTTGTCACAATAGTCTACCGGAAATAACAGAAACCTTGTCACAATAGTCTACTGAAAAATACAGATACCATGTCACAATAGTCTACCGGAAATCACAAAAAAAATATCAGAATAGTTTACCGGAAATCACAGGTACCATATCACAATAGTCTACCGGAAATCACACATACCATGTCACAATAGTCTACCGGAAATCACAAAAACATTGTCAAAAAAGTCTACCGGAAACCAAAAATACCCTGTAACAATAGTTTACGGAAATCACAAAAACGTGTCACAAAATCCTAACGAAAATAACAGATACTATGTCACAATTGTCTTCCGGAAATCACAAAAAAAATATCACAATAGTCTACCGGAAATCACTGAAACCATGTAAAATTAGTCTACCGGAAATCACAAAAACATTGTCAAAAATGTCTACTGGAAACCACAAATACCATGTCACAATAGTCTACCGGAAATCACAGATACTATAACACAATAGTCTACCGGAAATCATAAAACCATGTTAAATGAGTCTACCGGAAATCACAAAAACATTGTGACAAAAGTCTACCGGAAATCACAGAAACCATGTCACAATAGCCTCCCGGAAATCACAGAAACCATGCAAATTTAGTCTTCCGGAAATAACAGAAACTTTATCACAATAGACTACCGGAAATCATAGCAACCATGTCACTATAGTCTTCCGGAAATCATAGAAGCCATGTCACAATAGTTTACCGGAAATCACAGATACCATGTCACAAAAATCTACTGGAACTCACAGATACCATGTAACAATAGTTAAACGGATATCAAAGAACCCATGTCACAATTGTCTAGCGGAAATCAAAGATACAATGTCACAATAGTCTACCTGAAATCAAAGATACAATGTCACAATAGTCTACCGGAAATCACAGATACAATGTCACAATAGTCTACCGGAAATCACAGAAACCTTGTCACAATAGTCTACCGGAAATCACAAATACTATGTCACAATAGCATACCGGAAACCACAGAAAAATTGACACAATAGTCTACCGGAAATCACAAAAAAAAATATCAGAATAGTTTACCGGAAATCACAGGTACCATATCACAATAGTCTACCGGAAATCACACATACCATGTCACAATAGTCTACCGGAAATCACAAAAACATTGTCAAAAAAGTCTACCGGAAACCAAAAATACCCTGTCACAATAGTTTACGGAAATCACAAAAACGTGTCACAATATCCTAACGAAAATAACAGATACTATGTCACAATAGTCTTTCGGAAATCACAAAAAAAATATCACAATAGTCTTCCGGAAATCACTGAAACCATGTAAAATTAGTCTACCGGAAATCACAAAAAAAATATCAGAATAGTTTACCGGAAATCACAGGTACCATATCACAATAGTCTACCGGAAATCACAGAAACCTTGTCACAATAGACTACTGAAAAATACAGATACCATGTCCCAATTGTCTTGTAGAAATCACAGATACCATGTCACAAAACTCTACTGGAACTCACAGATACCATGTAACAATAGTTAAACGGATACCAAAGAACCCATGTCACAATTGTCTAGCGGAAATCAAAGATACAATGGCACAATAGTCTACCTTAAATGAGTCTACCGGAAATCACAAAAAAAATATCAGAATAGTTTACCGGAAATCACAGGTACCATATCACAATAGTCTACCGGAAATCACAAAAAAAATATCAGAATAGTTTACCGGAAATCACAGGTACCATATCACAATAGTCTACCGGAAATCATAAAACCATGTTAAATGAGTCTACCGGAAATCACAAAAACATTGTCAAAAAAGTCTACCGGAAACCAAAAATACCCTGTCCCCCTCGTTTACGGAAATCACAAAAACCTGTCACAATATCCTAACGAAAATAACAGATACTAGGTCACAATAGTCTTTCGGAAATCACAAAAAAAATATCAGAATAGTTTACCGGAAATCACAGGTACCATATCACAATAGTCTACCGGAAATCACAGAAACCATGCAAATTTAGTCTTCCGGAAATAACAGAAACCTTGTCACAATAGTCTACTGAAAAATACAGATACCATGTCACAATTGTCTTGTAGAAATCACAGATACCATGTCACATAGTCTACCGGAAATCACAGATACCATGTCACAATAGTCTACCGGAAATAACAGAAACATTGTCACAATAGGCTACCGAAAATAACGGAAACCTTGTCACAATAGTCTACCGGAAATAACAGAAACCTTGTCACAATAGTCTACAGAAAATCACCGAGTACGTGTCCTACTGACTTATATAATGTTACAGATAATTGTATCAATAAACCTTACCGGAAGTCACAAAGAACATGTCGTTTATACGTTAACATCACAGGGATGTGTGTCACAATTACCTTTTAGAAATCAATTATTTAAGTGATGCCACTGATAATGCGTCTAATGCTTATATAGTCGATTACCGGAGGAGATTGCTCTTGTCAACTTTATTACACTTACTGGATATCACGGAGAATGTGTCAATATTTTTACTTAGAACGTGGACATTGTAAAGCTTGATCCGTGCCTCTAGTATCTGGATCAGACACGTGACCAAGTCGATGAGTTGGTCCGGCTTGTACACGGTCACAAGCTCGTTCAGGTGTATAAAATCGCACATAAATAAGGTGGCGCTGTAAAACTTCCCGAATGTGGCGACGGGCCTGACACTATTGTGGAGGGGTGCAATGTATTCTGCACAGCTATCAACGTCGTTGTACATTTCAATAAACCCATCATCATCGTCAAAATCTGTAGATATTTCAGGCTGCACAGAGCTGTTTTTGATGGATTTGATGATAGAGTCGGAAGAACGTTTTAAACGAGATAAACTGTTTTTTGACTTGCTTTTGCCTTTTATGTCGTCTTTTTCAATTGTGTATGCTTTGTCGATTCTCTCCATGAACATCGGTATGTACTCTGGAGGTATTGCGTCAAGCAGAATTGAGGAAAGTCGATCTTGTTCTTCGTTTACTAGTTTATCCAGGGTGTCCTCGACGACATCCAGTGCCACTAATCTGTTAACAATACAGTGGTGCAGAGCACACACCACTGCGAACAGGCCGACGCATAACAGAAACAATGCGATATACAACCCAATTTTCTGTATCAACTCAGTACGTCTCTCGTACAGCTTGTCGGCCAGGCTGGAAAACAAATCCTTTGACAAGGTCGTGACATTATCAATAGCATTTGTTAATTCGTAATCAATTTCTGTGCACGTGATTTTATTCTGTGAACCTCTCCCACTCGAGTCGATGAAGTCCTGGTTTAGGAAAAGTTTCAGTTGTTGCCGAATGGACATCAGGAAGTTCAATTCATGTCGTGTAATCACGGTGGTCACGCCCCGAAAATCCAGCGCCATCTTGTGTGCCCGGATGGTGTTGATACACTGCATAATGATGTCATCGTACGGGTGTTGGAAGCTGGTTCCGTTATTGTTGGTCGCTATGGCACAGCCTGCACTACTGTAGATATCGACTTCCTGTAGAATCGCCAGGATTGCAAATA